TGAATATTTATAAACTCACCTTTGAATTGTTTTAAAAATATCTAACAAATATTCTGCCAGTGGTCAAAAGCTGTAGAATTAACGTTCAACGTTTTTAACGTTGATAAAATATTTTTGTGCACGGGTACTTGAAGAGTATGATCATATATGCATAATAATATATGTAGGAAATTCCTTATTATCGTTACATATATTATGAAAAAGTGTCCCGTAACAATTTCAGGATCTTAAGTTTTATTTATTCGCTAGGATTTGAAATTTTTTGCGGCATTCGTTTTTCTTTTCTTATTACATTGTATTATTATATTCTTTTTATGTTTTCATATACTCTAACAACGTTAAAATATTTGCAGAATTTATATTCTATAAGTATCCTGTAATAATTTGTTTGAAAAAAACACTACAATTTATAATTTTGTACGACGTATATATTGTTAAAGTTAAAAGCTAGTTAATTTAGGCTTGCGCAATTATAGTTCTGATTTACTACGGTGCTATTCTGCGTATTGTATTATCGGCTGCTCATTGTTGTATATTGAAGATTTCCTATATATATATATATATATATATATATATATATATATATATATATATATATATATATATATATATATATATTGAAAATAGAATTATTATCCAAGTTCATCAGGAAAATTGAATAAAACTGTTATTATTCCAATTATTCCATGCATGATGAACTTGGGTAATAATTTTATTTTCAATAAATTTAACACAATTTCTAAAATATTCTAGCAAAGAAAATTGAAAAGACAAACTTTAAATCGATTAATGTCAACAATTTTGTAGAATTCATACAAAATATGGTCTTCTTCCAACATCTAATTATATGAGTACAACGAATGCTCGTGCACGATAATATTGCACGTGTACTTAACATGTCCACCCAGGAATCAACCTGCGCCAAGTAGCCACCCACGAAATCGGTCACGTGTTGGGTCTTGATCACTCGGACGTCAGCGGAGCCGTCATGTACCCCTACTACAGCTTTTCGTCCAACTTCAAACTCGCAGATGATGACATTAGGGGCATTGGCTCTTTATATGGTCAGTTTTCAGTTTTATATTTCTATATTTTTTAAACAATAATTTTTAGTTAATTAATTAATTATTCATTTGTTTAAAAAATTAATTAACTGACTCATTAAACGAATATTATTAAAATTTAGGCAGCAAAAAACAAATTTCATCAAAGTTCCCCTTTTTCTCGACAACGACGACAAGAAGACCTACTACAACCACAACGTCAAAAAGACCATGGTGGAAATTATTTTTCAACATCAATAAATAAAAATATTGCATTTTGACAAATTAATGACAAATTAATTTATAGTTTCAAAAATAACTTTTTAAAAGTATTAACTTACATAGCATCCGTCATTGCTGGACAATTCTTTATTTCAATTCTTCATTCTTTTTGCTCGTAATCATTTCTATACAGCTCTTCTTGTGCGCAATCCTCGGAATTCTGTTTATTAAGATTTTAATTATTTATTCTACACAACGAAATAATTCTTATGAATCTGTATTCTTTTTCAGTTTTAAATAAAAAACTTTAACAAAATAATCATAACTTGTGTTGTCTATTAAAAAATATTACTAATTAAAATTTAAAATTCTGTAGACCAAGCTGACCATACTTGTACAATATTTGTATCGGATACGTAGCCAAGAATTGGCTTCGGCATTGAAACACCCACAAAAGACTATTTTGTTAGGGTTAAGACTGAATTTTTAAAAAAAATGTATTTAAATGTTAAACACGCAATTGTTTTATACTCCCCACAACAGTAACATTTGGTAATGTAAAATAAAACACTGCTTTGAATACAAAATTTTAAATAAAAAGTCAAAACAAAACCTGCTTGTAGACTTCGTTTCGCATCAGTTTTGATACGGGTGGTCTTTTTGCGTCACGATTGCTGACCAGCAAAGACCATTAAGTAACTGTACCGTACTTTAAAATGCATCGCATTCACGTGACGTTTGTATCTTTTAATGTTTTTTTCATATCATCAACCAATTTTAACGCTTTATTGCATTCTTAATGTATCAGTTATTGTTAAATAAATTGTCGAATAATTGATTGGAAAACAAAATTCGTTTTTTTTATTTCTTTCACAAAAAAAACTACTAAAAACAATAAAGCAGCAAATTTTTCGTTTTGTTCGTTTTATGATTTTACTTTCAGCATTCCTCAAAATGTAACATTATGTAGGAAAAGTAGCGAAACAATTTCTTTACTTGATTAATGTAAGCATTATTGTTGGAATGGTATAATTTACAATCTGTTCAAATATGAATCAGGACTGTAACGCTATGAAATAATAATAAAGTTCTTTGTTTCGTTTTTCTATGGAACATCAAAATATATTTAAGATTTAAAGATGTTAAACTTCTCAAGTTTGTTGTGTAGATAAATGATATAATGAATACTTATAAAAGCCACAAAATATTGTGGTGAAATATTATGGTGAAATATTATAGTTGTATATTAAAGTGAAATATTAAAGTGAAATATTAAATTGAAATATTATGGTGGACTATTATGATGAAGTATTATGGTTAAATTATGGTGAAATAATACAATAAAATATCATAATGAAATATTATGGTGAATCTTAATTGCAATGATCATTCGTTGTATAGCAGGAGTTAGGAAGGCAGCTGCTGCATTTGTGTCTCTTCCAGGCAAACAGGAAGTAGCCACAGATGGCGCCGAGTAGGAGAGACACACACAACCAGACGTTGTAGGTCATGAAGATGAGCATGAGGCAGTAGCTATAAAAGACTTGCAGGCCGTGCAGAGCTGTCTGGCACAAATGAGGTAGGGGCTCAACCTTTTGTCTGACAATTTTTTAAATCGATAGCTTAGTATAACCATTTGTAGGATAAATTATATTTTTATGGTAGAAACAGTACTAGTGAATTGTGTTCAAATTTGTTTGCCCCATTGTTTTAAATGAAACAATTTTGTTTTTGAAATTTTGATTATTGGCCTAAAAACCAACTTATTGATATAACTACATTTAAATAATAATCTAATAATATCAGTGAATTTCAACTAATGAATTCTCAGTAATTTTACGTTTTTTAAATTGTGCAAAATTAAAAGTTACGTCAACCCTTAACTTTTTATAGCAATCAGGAACAATTCCTGCAGGCTCCTTGGACTTGCATTCAGTATTTCTCATCAGCAAATATTCCCTGAAGACCTTTAAACCTTCGTACAACATTCCCGCCACCAAGATAATCAGACAAGACACCACCATTCCTGGACATAATTTAAAAACAATTAATCATATGTGACCAAAAATATATAAAATTATTTCAATCAGCTGACCGGTAATAGATGAGACTTTCCAGAAAGAAAACAGTATGGTTGCTTCACAACTTGCGTGAAAATACATCGGCATACTGTGGTCCTTTCCATTTGTTATTTATTTTAAATTACTAATTTTTAAGTTCCATTGTTGTCTTTTAATGCTATTTTGATATGGGCATGTATAACTTACGTTTAAGCTCATTATTTATTTATATTTATATTTATTTATAAATAAATTTTAAAGATAGAATGATGGAGCGTTAGTTAATCATTTAAGAACAACCAAGTTTTTCAGCAGGAGAGAACTTTGATGTGAAGTAACGTTGAATAACTTACTTGGTGGTGGCTGTGGTTGCTTTCGTGGCTTCCAGACTCATCCAAAAACAGAGACATTAAATCCATTAGTAGAAATGTTTGAAAGTTAACGGGCAGACAATTATTAATTATTAAACCTGTAGAACTCTAATACGTAAGAGCCAAATATAAGAGATGTAAATTTAATTACTTCAACCGTTTAAAATATTATTTGAAATACTTTAATTAATTAATCGGTCGAGAGCCAAATATGTTGGCGAATACAAAATTTGATAGATACTGTGTGTAGTATTTCTTATACCATAGATTCAACATATCAGTTGGGTTCATATCTTATCAAATTGTAAGTACTCTCATGTTTTACTGTAAATGTCATTAAACAAACATCACGTTCTCATTCATACAGAGTGAATTTTTTTGTTTAAGCATAAATTTCGCTGTTGAAACAAATTCTTTTGTTCAAAGCATACAAAGTTTTGTTTAAAAACACTCTTGGTTTAAACAAACGTTTATAGTCGAACCTTTTGAAAGAGCAAGTGACGTTTAATATAAACACAAAGCCTATAGTTTTAAAGTCCAACAAAGCACCACAAATACGTGCGACTGAATATTTTATTTATCAACATTAAGTTTTATCTCTCTGACAGATAATGGTAAACATAATAACTCAGGTCTTGCGTAAATTAATCCACATTTTTGACACCAAGCCAGACGTCGTACCTTCTTTCGGGAAATTGATTTATGGGATGATGACGATAGTGACCATAGCTTTGTAGACATTAAAAATGATAATGATAGTTATGTCGAAAATGATAATGACGTTGACGAATTTATAGAATTGTGACAATGTTTCCTATTATAACTAGGATTTGATAATGAATCTCTTGATGATACTAACGATAACAAAAATGATATTGATAATTTTAAATTCCAAAATTGTTAATGATTCATTTTAAGATTTAACGTAAAGATGGCATGTAAATAATAGTGAAGATGATTAAAATGATGATGATTTATGAACATCAAACATCACGATCAGCTCATCAGACCTTCCATTTATTCAATCATTGCTTAATTCATTCATTCATCCCATCACAATGGAAATCCAGCACAATTCATCTAATTCCTAAAACAAACACCCATCATCACCAATAGATTATCGCCCAACATCAATCACCCCCATACTTTCACGTATTCCAGAACAATCCTAGGTTATTCATCCATGTTTCATCCATCCATCTATCAAACCACTATTACAAGATCAGTTTGCATTTCGCCCTACAGATTCATCTACATCGGCCATCATCTCTCTTACTTCCACAATAACATCTTTTCTTAAAAAAAATAATCATGTTTATCTTATTGCTCTCGACTTTTCTAAAGCTTTTGACACTCTCAATCACTTCTCACTTTCAAATAAGTTAGCCTCTCTTCCTCTACGTGACAACGCTTGCAATATTCTAATAAATTTTCTTTCTAATAGGAGTCCTTCTACTTTCTCTAGTTCTACTCTTTCATCTACTCTACCTATTAATTTTAGCATAGTTCAAGGTTCTGTCTTTGGACCATTTACCTTTTTTATCAACGCTTCTACTCTCAAAACTTTTCATAGCTCTAATCAAATCATCAAATACGCTGACGACGCCTACCTTATCATCCCATCATCTAACTCAAACACATCCAATCAGAACTCGACTCATTAGCTACATGGTAAAAAAGATGCAATCTGTCACTTAATCTCAATGAATCATTCCAACTCATCATTCACAATAGCCATAAAAAATAACATCACCTCCAGAACACTCGCACAAGTCAATTGAATATATTAGGCATCACATTCACCTCCACACTTAATATAGCACCTCATACCAATAGCATCTTCACTAAAGGCTTTCAAACATTTCATGCATTCAAAACACTCCGCTCACATGGTCTCAGAGGCATCAAATTATTCGGCATCACTGAATCGCTTATAACTTCACGCATCAAATATGCAGCTTCCTCCTGGTCTGGTTTTGCTACACAACAACAACTTCAGTAACTACAATATCTCATCAAAAAGCTAATTCGTTTCAACTATCTACTTGCATCATATCCTACCGTCACTCAGACTGTTCAAGGAAGTAGAAAATAATAAAACCACGCCATCCATCCTCTACTACCACCAATTAAAACTACAACACACAACCTTCGTCAGCGCAAGCATAACTATCAAGTCGCCGTCCAATCTACATTTCAGGAACAGACCTCTATCACAAGACACCTCAAACATATACACACTAGGGTTATGACTTGTTGCTAACCTCATATTGGCATAGCAGAAAAAGATGAGTTTTAGCGCCAGATTTACAAATTTGTTCATTTCAGATGCCACAAAAAAAAGTTCCCCCACCAAACCACTTTTTTATCACTTTTTAGATTTTCATTATCACGGGTCAGTTCACCCACAAAAGAATAAAAAATATTTGAGCTTGATGTAGCAGATTGAAGGACATAATACATTGCCAGCCTTTTATTTTCGACTTTTCTTTCTATAGATCGTTCACTTTGGCAGGGAAAGCTAAACTTTTGCCACAGATCTTTGATTTGATTTTGCATTTATTGATTTAATATTTCTAGCAAGATATAAATATTGACCCAATATGACAAAGTGTTTCGGCATTTTGCACCTGTCACTTAACCTGCTTTCCACCAGTGGTACTTCTTGCCGCTTTTTCAAGGAATCTTCAAAGTTGACTAAATTTTGTGACCATAAAAAAGAATTTCTTTCAACTGCTTCCTGTGATTTTCTATATGAAAAAATAAAACATTTGGAAATCGTATAAAGCCTGAATATTTAATAACATATGACTCACTATACGTATTTTTGGCTAATAACTTTCTTGGCGCCTTTTCCAATGAGAGTAAGAGAGTACCGCTTCATTGTAACTGAACGTCAAGTGAATGTTTATATACCTATCAGCAGCGTAGGAATTTCCTCACACGTCAATGACATGATAAATGAATGACACAATTTCATGTGTTATTACCACATTGTATGTAAAAGGTAAATAAACAATCCATTTGGTAGGGGAACTTTTTAAAAGAATTCATAAAATGATTATTACTTTCGTATTCTACATAAAGAAACTCATCCTATACAAGTATGTCAATATGGAAACAGTAAAAAAAATTTTTTTGTCATAACCCTATTACTACACACTCAATAAAACTTCATCATTCACACAACTAGTTTTTATTTATCGATCACCTCACTAACTCACTAAGTCATCATCTAGTCTATTAATTTGCCTTTCTATGTCATTACTTCATTTTATTGTCAATTTATTTTTTTATTAATTTTATTATTATTTATATTTTTTTTCACGTTTAAACAGTTTTCGTTTTTTCTTTTTCCGTGTTTTTTTTTATTTATTTACTTATTCGTTATCATTTTATACTGCTGCCTTGCATGCTCTAACAGCTTCTGCGTCTGTCAGATCCTGATTTTTAAAGAATAATAAAAAAAAGATCGTTAAACATTCTTAGCCAAAACAATTTGTTGCTAATATTTTTTTTAACAATTGTTTTCATTTTGAAACATTTTTATTGGCAATTATTTTTTTAATTGAGTGTTGTAAAAAAAATAGTTGATGTACCTTATTCGATGATTTGTACATTGTTCTAAAATAAAAGCGAACTATAATATCATTTTATTTTTATTAATTATTTTAATTTGTCATGTTGTTTGTCACTAAACAAACTTCCAGAACGTTTTCTATAACCCACAATTTAGATAGGTTAAAACCTCAAATTGAATATTCTGTTTTTTACATCGTAAACTAAACTGGCCTTTGCGCCTAACGATTGGAAACAAATTTTCGCTTTTATTGATCGCTAATACTTTATAAAGAAATGACATTTAATTATTTTATTATGATAAAAATAGCAGTCAAAACTTACTACTACGAATGATAATGATGCTGTTGATGATAAAATAAATAAATAAATAAATTTATTAATAAATAAATATCTTTATTTATACTATTATATATACGGATGGAATACTGAATGCCAGCCAAGGAGCCTTCACCAATTTTACCAGCCATATCACTTTCATTTCAGATGAAGAATCCACTCATTCCAGGGGAAGAAGCAATGGATATTTCATAATTTTTGAATTTTTGATTTCGATTTGTTGATCAGTTATCGCCGGGACCTCCGTGGTCAACAGAAGATGGCATTACACCGTCAACGTGTTTATTAGCGTTGTTACATCTTCAAAATTTACAGGTCATCATTAAATGTATATTTTCTTTCATTGATCGACAATTTTTTTCTTCAGAAAATTCACAATTTCAAGTCAAAATATTCAAGTGAATTTTAACTAACTTGCATGCCGAAGTGTGATGGTTGTTCATAGATGGATGTCAACACAAACGTTATTATAGCATTATGCTGCCAATACCAACTACCAATGTGTAGGCTTGAATAACTAATTTTGTTGTTAAAAAATAAAAAATTGCTACTTTTGATTTATTAACTAAATAATAAATTAAATTACAAACAAATTGTTTTAATATTATAGTTAAAAAGTTGTAATCTGAGAGCTGATTGAATTTCATCCTAACTTGGAATGAATTTTCGAATAGGTTGTCTAATTTATTTTAGATAACATATATGATGAACATGAATTTGAATTTTAAATGATAAATTATCATTTAAAAAAGAACTTTAGACGAAATTTTTTATTGTATTGGCAAAGAGCGCGACAAATAAACGACGTCCGGTCAGTCCGGTTAAAACAAGACCGGCCAGCCTCGTAACAAATCGGAGAAAACTGTCGTGGAGAGAAGCACGGAAACGTAAGCACGTGCGTTTCCGTTGGAAATAATGAAGCATCATTAGCGAATGTTATTGACCATAATGCCGTGAATTATGAGTCCCAGCCGCTCGTTCCATTTACATCTCACACTACATCCATATCTCACACTACATTCATAACCCACATAATAATAATAAATAAATGTCATTTGTAAAGCGCCAGTGTAAGAAACTGAGGCGCCTCCGGAACCAAGAAATTCACAATCAACCATGGCGATATGAGCCCAATGATAAGAAACAAATAATAAAAACAGAAATTAAATTAAAATTGTAATTGTTGTGTGCAAGTATGCTGATATGTGTTTATGTTCTCAACGTTATTATACATAACCTTTTTCAATGTGTAATGTTTTTATGAGATACATTATTTATATGGTGAAAACTTTGTTTACATTACATCCATATCCCATATCATATCTCTATCCCATATCATATCTCTATCCCATATCATATCTCTATCCCATATCTCTATCCCATATCATATCTCTATCCCATATCATATCTCTATCCCATATCATATCTCACATTATATCCCACATTATATCCATATCCCACATTATATCCATATTGCATATTTATATCCCAATCCCATATTATATCCAACATTAAATCCATGTACAATATTATATCCGTAGCACTGCGACAGGAAGACTGCATAATTTAAAATTACTTTAAAATTATATATCTTTACTGAAACAAACACATTTGTACTTACTACGTGAGGAGCGTACATCATGTTTAATATTTTATATTTTATTTAATATAAATTATTTATATTATTATTTATATTTTATATTTATTTAATATAAATTATTTTATCTACCCTCTCTTTTAAATGTTTTATTAGGTTTTTATTTTTTTAGCGTATCAATACAATATGTTTTTATAATTATTATTATTATCATCTCTCTACTAATTTTTCTAAAAATTAACTTCATTTGTTTAAAAATGCGTTGTCGTCAATCAAAAAGTTACCGTCTACAAATTAGATTTATTTCAAATCATTTGCTAAGTTTGTTGATTCAAAAAACTCGTTAGAGGTTCAAAGAATCGAACATAAACATCAGCTGCGATGAAAGAACACAAAAGAAGAGGACTTATTAGACCTCAGAGGAGGCAAACTCGCCCCGTCATAACGACAACTCACAGCGAAGCATGTGTGGATAACACTTCACAAAAAACATGACAGCAAGCGATGAAGCACACAAGTTACATCAAAAATTGAAATCATCGCATAGAAAGTAATGCAGAGTTTTATATTTTTAATAACTTTGTCAACTTTTTGGGAATTTCAACTTTTAGAACAAGCAAGCTTGGTTTAAACCTTAAGCGCATTATGTAAACAATATCCTAATAAACAATGTTACAAAATATTTCGCAGCCAGTAAAGTATGTACGTAAGACATGAGTAACACGACAACGTGAACGTATAACACGAACGAGTAAACTACCAGGCTGTCTCAGGCGACAATGAGCAAACAAACTCGCATTAAACGGACAGAAATGTGAATAAAATGTTGCAGCTGCAAACAATTCCTCAGTTGGAAAATATTTCTCCCCGTCCATAGAATTTGAATAATTTTTAAAAAGGTTCGCATAAATATTGAAACTAATGAAAATTTATACGAAACCATTTTCTGCAAGGACATATCATTGTATGCAACGTAAACACATAGCATAGCACGTAAACATACACTAATTAGCAATGTGTGTAAAAATACATTTCACAAACACAGCTGAAACATGCCTCACTGACATACATTTGCATCGCCTATAACAAACAACACGCTCCAATATGCTTAATTTAATACGCAGGTACGTCGAACGAAGCACATGTACATGTATGTGTGCATGTGTATGTGTGTTTGTGTGTGTATGTATGTGTATGTACCTACCTACTTCGTTCGAACAGGTGTTGTCTACTCGAGAAAATTTCAAAATAACACAACATTGCTGCCGATATAGAGTGATTACGTTTCATTTTATACCGAGTGCAAACATGAAAATTTATTTTGCCGTTGTTTGAAAGTGTTATCGAAAGATTGAATGCTTTGCAGTTCTAAACTACGTGCACGTTTCAAGTTTTGCTGGATTCCTGAAAAATCTCGTAAGAAAGTTGCAAGTTTAGAATCATGTTGAATAATTGGGAGTGTGTTACAAACTTCGTACAAGAGTTTAATCTTTAATGTAGTAATTTAATTTTAATTAAAATGTGCATTTATTAGCCGGTTACCTATGTTTACTTCTCTGCCTCCTAATATTTTGGAATAAATCAGGTTTTAATTTGATGTTTATAAGAGTTAAAAAATGAACGAATCCATTTTGTTCAGAGTAAATAATTTAAACTAATAATTAATAAAAAGTAATTTCTAATAAAGTTTAGCATTGTGCAGCATATCAAATGTTTATTTGTATATTTTTCTCAAAATTTGTATGATTTATTTGTGAATAAGGAAAAATGCTATGTCTGGTGTGACCAGTGACAAAATGTTTTAAAATTTAAGTTTAAGTTTCGAAGTTTTCAATTGTCGGTGGAAGTTTACAAGCATTGGGGCTGTCGTGGAAGTTTCGAATATACAAGTGAACGTGGCATCTGAGGGGGATCTGAGGTTAGTTAGGTGTGCGCAATAAAAATATTTGTTTTGATGTATGGTATGATGACGCCACACATTCAAATATACATTATGAAACTTTCGCTAGAAATTAGACAAAGTTTGGCAAAACCGGAGACTCGTTCGGGGTGCTAGATGGATATGTCGTAACCCTAACCTAACATAAAATGTTTTTGTAACCCTAACCTAATTCTAACACAAAATGTTTTGTTTCATTGCAATGAGGATCGTGTTTTATTATTAAATGGTCAAAAATAATTTTATTTCGAAGTTACCAGTTTTTAAAACTCACTACAAACTTATCACTCTGGACGGATTTCCGGTTTTACCACATACTTTATTATTTCATTTTTTATTACTCATGCGCAAAAGTAAACTTGTACTAACCGTGACAATGCTTATTATAATGCAGTGGTAGTAAACCTGGCTTGCGAGTTAGCTCAGTCGGTAGAATTTCCATGTCTCGCGCTGTTACTATGCGATGGCCTGGTTCGAATACAGTCTGTCCTAAACTCAGGGACTGTCATCGCCATGCGCGTTTGATGCGATGTGGTGCTTGTGGTGTGGGCAGTGCAGACTTCGTGGCACGAAAGTTTATTTGCAAAGCATAGAATAACATTTAAGCAGTTCTTAAAGAAGAACGAAAAATATTACTTCTTTGTCATTAAGTCATTATATTATCATTGTAAGTTCTTCATTCTTATCGGTTATCGCCTGCAACGACAACTATTCTTGGCACATGTTATGCGTCACTCATCACACACAAAAATATTATTTTGAAACCTAGAATAATAATACAGCGATAAATGGCATGCCATTGCATTACTTGTAAAATAAAACTGGGGTACATACATGAATGTACGCTGTTATAGGCACTAACTCTGTATGTGTATGTGTATGTGTGTGTTACTGTGCGTATGTGTGTAGATGGATTGAGCGGGCAAATTGAATGAACAGAGCAAAGACATGGGCTTCTGTGAAATTAGATCTACGTTTTGTTTTATCACTGCTGCAATGCTGTATAAATTATCCCAAGGCATACTGATGTTTACATGAATATGTACAAATCTATGTATATCTGTGTATTATCTTTTTTTCATTCAATAACTTGTTTTTTTGTAGTTTTTTTAATTTCTTTATTGATTCAGTAAACCAACCAGAAATCAATCATTCAATTAATCAGCTGATCATTTAATAAATTAATGTCTCAATCCAAAAACCAAACAATAATTCAGCCATCAGTAAGTTGATGAATGAATATATCAATCATATATTGTGCCGAACTGTCAAATCGAATATTTTTTTTGTTTCTGTAATATTAGTGCGAGCACATAACGTCATTCATCTACATCAGTATATATCTGCATAATTTGCCTTCATTAAGTTACTGGAACTAGTTAGGCTTACAGGAAGTGGAGCATGCACATGCGACGATGTTTGCCACCGGGCAACTAACCAGAATTTTGAATTACCCATTCATAATTTTGTAATGGACTTTGAAATTCTAAAGATGATGATGATCTTTTTTTTCTTTTTTGGGTGATTCCCGTAATTTTCGTTTGTTCGCCTCGGCCTCAATGAATCAAACATGCCATTTGTGCGTCGCAACTATATTATACTTACGTGCTATCGTGATGCTGTCACACATGGCATGTCTGACTGAATGTGAAGTAAATAAATATACACAAAAATTAATAAATAAATAAATATATATATATATATATTTATTTATTCATTCATTCATTCATTCATTCATTCATTCATTCATTCATTCATTCATTCATTCATTTATTCATTCATCCATTCATTCATCCGTCCATCCATTCATTTATTTATTTTTTTATTTATTCGCTTATTTATGTATTTGTAATTTATTTACACACACACAACACACACACACACACAAAGACATGCTGATGTTTGCGAATGTGGAAATCTCAAAAGATTTGCCACAGCATTATCCGCCTGCGATATGAATTTATGCTGATGCAACACAATGACCAATCTCTTCCGACCTCTCTCTACGCTAATTCTTATTTTTTGTTAGTTAGTTTGTTTTTATTTTTTTATTTTTTCTTTTCATAAAAAAAAAAGATCGTAAAAAATTAAAAAAGGTTAGAATATTTTAGATAAACTTTCAAGCCTATTATTTTAGGTAAACTTTGATACTTATTCACGGACAGAATATTAAAAAATGAAATGAAACCCTCTAAATTTAATCTATTCATAAAACATTTCATGATAGATTGAAAAAGGAACCATTAAATAGTAAGTCATTTTTATTAGATATAAATCGAATTTACATGCGTTCTGCTTCAAGACTTTGACCACTGACGTTACGAATCTATGCCGCAGGCATTTGCGTCTTTTTCTTACTGATTCAGAGGAAAAACAAAACAAATTTGTTGGAATATCTGTTTTGGAAAATTGTTATTCAAATTTAAATGGAACGCCACATCGAAATTTATTAGTTGATATTTTTTTTCTTCTAATGCATCCCATAAAATATGCGGTAGATAAATTAGACGGTCGGTTGCACCTGCATTGCTTTCGTAATGAAAAAGTAAATCAAGTCAACCGCCACCTCACCTACCTCACACACACCCACATCCCTGACATCCCATCCACCTCACCTACCTCACACCCACATCCCTGACATCCCATCCACCTCACCTACCTCACACCCACATCCCTGACATCCCATCCACCTCACCTACCTCACACCCACATCCCTGACATCCCATCCACCTCACCTACCTCACACCCACATCCCTGACATCCCATCCACCTCATCTACGTCACAACCGCAAAATCCAGCAAACCGTGCAGGTAGGCACGATGGTACAAGCAATGCTTGAATATATGCAAGCACGAACACGTCGTCAAATTATTTCTCAACTCCTGTACAACTCCCAATCAGGAACACGTTTCAAAGCTGTCAGTTTATAAGAGTGCAAGAGTTGAGACAATTAGAGAACAGGAAAATTGAAAGAAAAGACAATATCCTCCAGACAATTTGTGAATTTTCTAAAAGTTTTAAAAAAGTTCAAAAAGTATTTGTGTTTATTATTTGATTACAAAAATGGACAACACTAACGTCGCTGATAAGATAAGATTGGTAAATTGATTAAAACATTCTCACCAACAAACTCAAAAATAACACCACTAACAACTTCACCACCAAAATTCCACCAACAACTTGACAACTGTTGCACAGACTTTGCAAGCAACATTGCTCTATATCTTTTCAAAACAGGTGTTATTGTAACTGTTGAATTAAAACACCTAACCTATGCAATTAAATTACATGTGTTTGTGTGATTATTGATAATTGAATAATTAACTTTTTATATTTTATTATTATTTATAGCAGAACTTACATTTATTTTTCATCACTATTCAATCTTTTAATGGTTTTACAACCCCTTCTTATCAAGATGAAGATCTCAAGACTAACTTCATGCACATGCTTGCAGCCACTTTGAAACCAATTGACTGCTCTAGTAAATGGTTTGATTTGTTGAGTGCGGATGATGATGATTATGATGATGATGGTGATGATGATGATGATGAGGAGGAGGAGGAGGAGGAGGTTGAAGAATAGCATGACGATGATGATGATGTTGGTGTTTGAGATCACAGAAGTAAATGTTTGATATCGGAGAAAGGGAGCAGATTATTACAGTTACTTTTTCACGGGATAAGTATGAAATGCACTTATATATCGCACCTGATGTGATCAAAATATATTCAATGAATTGTTTGAGCAGTAAGTACAATAAATTTAGAGATCATCACAAACAAGTTGAACGAACGGTTGTTCGCATCGTATGGACGGGCGGATTAACTTCTTGACCCACCCACGCTGCAGTCTGAGGCAGCTTTATAACTTGCCCCCCCCCCCCCGTTTCTGTAAGAATATAAATACATGTTATTAGTAGGCGATAATGTTTAATAAAAATAATAATAATAATATAATAATAATAATGATAAAAATAATGTCATTTCATGCAGCGCCATGGCAAGCGACTGAGGTGCATTATCATTACAACAAACACACATTCTCTAAATACCCGTAAATCAATTCATCGCACACGTTTGCATGTGATAGGTGGAGATCTCTCTACATTCGAACCCGGACACTGCGTCAACAATGCCAGGCACTTTAACCATTGCACCATCGCGTCGCCCAATGAAGAGAGTGTTGCACCGGGGAAAAATATACTTATTCAAAATCTGATGTTTACCGTTTTTTGCATTTCAAATGTGATTAGTGATTTTGATTTAAATTAAATTTCGGATTGCACTGAGGTGAGGTTTTTATTGTCGTTCACATTTTAGGCTGTTGTTTGTTTTGTTTTGATGACGCTGCAAACGTTCAGTTATTTATTGTTAGTTATTGTTTTTGGCAATTTTCTTTTTTTTTTACTCCTCTAAAATATTATTACCCCAACAAGTATGACTAACTTCTATTTTTTATTCATGAAAAATTTTTACCAGTAAACAGAAAAATGCAGAGAAGCTTGAGTGAGATCAACGTGTGTGAAGCTTCCATTCCATCCGCCAAACCACAAAACGTCAAGATGCGAAAAAAATGGCGACTACGATTTCCGAATTTCTGGATGAACCGGAGGTAAGTGAGGTCAGGTTTCGGTCAAGTTAAGGTTCATTGAGGTCAAGTGACTGTTTTGTATTGGGGGATTAAATGTTTGTACTTCCTATTAAGCACATTTGGATTAATTTTTGGTTCTCAAAATGAATGGATTTTAGTCTTTCTATGTTATGACAAGAAAATATGTAAACAACTTAACTGTGTGCTTGGCAGGAACAATGTATTTTTACTAAAAATACAAATTGGTTTACTTTAATTTGTTTAAATTTTTCATTTAATGATCTGATTTGATGCGTACTACTACCTCATTAATCTTAATCTATCACCCACTTAAATTAAACGCGTTAATGCGTTCTAATCTCTCCGCTGATGAATTTTTATATTTTATACATGTGCCTGTCCCGTAATCTATCAAAATGCATGTTATGTAATGTGCATGCAAATGCCATGCAACGCGTGCCACGTGCAATGCGTGTAGGCAAATACATAAACTTGCGAAAACAAGCAAACATTCAAACATACATACATACATACATACATACATACATACATACATACATACATACATACCTACATACATATATACATACATACATACATACATACATACATACATATATACGTACATAATACATACATACATACATACACACACACACACACACACATATATACATACATATATACATACATACGTACGTACGTACATGCATACATTCAAGGGTAATAATGCACCGAATCAGATACATGTTTGTATTGTATGTGAATCTCAATAGTAATAGCTGGTAGAAGAGCTGTTAACCTGTTTTAAGTGTATTGATAGCATGGCGTAATATGCCGACATTGCTAACAATGTTTTGAAACAATTTGTTTACTATCTTTCACGAAATTTTCTTCCTTATTTCAACTTTTTCATGTTAACTTACAGCCTCGCCTTTTGTTTTTTTTACAAATTAATATTTTTTCTTACAAAAATATTCATCATGTGGGGTGTAATATTTCAGTGGTATGTACAAATAAGTTAATAATTTAAATAAATACATTGTGAATTAGAATTCATATATATATGGATAGTGGATATTATGTTAATTATTATATACATATATATATACTACACACACGCACACACGCACACGCACATAAATATATTTATATATATACATATATATATATATATATATATATATATATATATATATATATATATATACAGTAGATTTAAAACGATTTTTGATAACGGTTTTCAATAACACCTGATAATACGCATGCAGTTTAGAACGCGTAAAAACCTTACTTCTTCATGTATAATAATATATTTAATGCCTGTGTCTATTTAAATACTTATGACATATACACATATACACACATGTATATTGCATGAATTCTACTGAATTGTTGGCATTATTCAATTTAAAGTTTGTCTTTTCCATTTTCCTTACAAGAATTTTCTGGAAATTGTTCGATTTATTGGAAATGGAATTATTATCTAAGTTCATTGTGAAAATTTAATGAAACTGTTGTTATTCAAATTCATCGTGCAGATAAGGCTTTATTTCAATTTTTCACAAATCATCTTCAGTGCATATAGTTTCTTTAAATAAAGCAAAGTTAGTTACTTTGTTGGTGTTGTCTCTTTGTTCTTTATTGTTAGTGAAGTTAGTATTAAGGCGTCAAGTTGGTAAAGTCGTGATCATCTTTTGTCGTTTGCACTGAAGATGATTTGTGAAATTGAAGTTTGTCACCAATGTCACCAATTCGGTAGAATTCATGCAATACTGTATAAAATGTGATCTCCTTCTAACATATATAAATATAAATATTTTTTTTTTTTTTTATTTATTTTATTTTCAATAAGGGAACCAAATAAGTTTAAATGAAAAAACTTGTGGAGAGGCCACCCTAAGTACTTTACATGAGATATATATGCAATTTAAAACAGAACAGAAAATATACAAATTAAATTTCAATGCATGCAAAAATCGATAAATATAATCAGTAGGATTAACACTCGAAAAACAAAGTTAATATCTGAACATATAAGTATATACAGATATTACTAATGAATCTACAATCAAAAACAGAAAGTAGATTGGCAATATGAGATAATTTATAGTATTTGATACAATAATTAAAAGTATGGATTGATTGAAGAGATGAATAAACGAGTCTAAGTGGACAGAAACATATGCTGAATTTAAAATAATTATTAGCGATGAAATGAGCCATATATAGTGTAATATATAAAAGGTTAAGATTTAGATGGTGGTGTCGGGATCAAGCAAATTTAACCGCGATCTCAGTTTAATTTTAAAATGGTACAATTCAGTGATAACCCTAATATCTGGGGGTACAAATAATTGCCAGATCTTAGGGCCCAAAATTTTAAGACTAGTTGCAACGAGCTTAAGGCGGGTTTTTGATGGATAAATAACAGACGCGTGTCTTGTGTTCAATATTTGGACGGAATTACTATAAATATAAAAGTTAGAAAAAGAGGGAGGGAGTAAGTTGTTCAGAAATTTAAAAACAAAAATAGCCGTGAAGTAGATGTAAAGGCAAGGTAGTGACAAGATATTGTGCTCGACGAAAAAGGATCTCGTGTGAGAATAAGG